AAATACTGATCGGCCTATGGATATTTGGCTTGAATTTATTTTTTGATTTTCTAAAGGGAATTGCCTTAGCAAACTTTAACTGATTGCGAATATATCATGAAAAAGAACTATGAATAAAAAAAGTCCGATTAGGGTTGTCGGATGATCAGAGCGGCAACTTTTATATTTTTACTTTGTAATCCATCATCAACAACAGAACTTTTGTCCTTTAACTTATCTATTGAACTATTTATCTTCTGTTTGTCAATGTCTGCAAAAACAGACAACTTCTAAGGCAAGGAAAAGGCTTCATGGCAGCAGAATTTTCTTGATTTGAGGAAATCAATGTTTTATTAATACTAGCAATGAAGTTTCCAAATTGTTCCACGTCTAGTTCTGTGTTACTTTTTTAAAACTTTCCACAAATTTTTTTTCTGGAGCAATGATCAATTTAGCGCCTTTTTGACACTGAATTTTGCATTTGAAAACAATTAATCGATTTTGCGATTTCCGATTTCAAAACGATCTTACTTTCCAAAGTTCATTTTCATTGATATCGCTTGACTTCTTCAAATAATTTGGGCTTTAACTTTTCTATTCGGTTTAATTAGAGAAAATTGTTTTTTTTTTAGGATAAAAACGAGCAACAGAAATTAAAAAGATGTTTTTGAAAAATGAAAACGTATTTCGATCAATATGATTCAGCTTGATATTCTTCACCCTCGTAAATACACATCTTTGTGAGTTTAAAATTCAAAAAAGATAGTCTATTAAAACTGATTTTTAAAATCTAAGAAGTGTAGTTAGAGACATCGAAAGTGTAGAGTTGACCAGTCGGCATTCGGAGGGTGGCATTCATTGGGCCGCGGTTTCAGTTTTCCGGAAAAGATAATTCCTGTTTTCCGAAAGTTGATTAGACTATCAAGCAAATTAATGTTAATGTTTTCAAAAATATAAATGACAAGTAGCTTTGTTGCGATCCGGCAATGAAACCTTGTCGAAATATGGTACAATTTAAAAATCCAGGTCGATCAAGTTGAATTCCTGAATTTTCTTTAAATTTTTTCAAACCGTTTTGAAACAAAAGCCAGTTTTTTTTCACGAGCGCGCTTCCTAAACTTTTTATAAACAATCTGAGGGAATAGTCGACCAAAATGAATGTCGCAAAATTGAACCCCAGTGGAAACCCATTGGGTGTCAGGGAATCGAATCTCAGAGGATTGATCTTGTTAACTAATTCCCATTTTTGCAAAAGGGGGGACAAAGTGCAAAATTCATAAATGCTTAACTGTTCAGTTCTGTCTTTTTAGGGGGTGTGAAGGGGGTTCTATACAAAGTACCATGGGAGATACTTAGCAAGGAGTGGGTTCTTTATTTACTCTTCTTAATTAATTTTGAGAAAAAAATCTTCAAATGGACCGAGAGTAATCTATTGATTTATGCAAAACTGGTGTGGGGGGGGGGGGGGGGGGTTGTACCGACTAGCATAAAGCTCAACTAGCATAAAAAATTTTAAATTGAAAATCGTTTCCTCTAGCACAAGAGTCCGAATTTAGATATTCAGATTTTGTCAAACCAATATGGTACAGATCAAAAATACGTAGTTTTCTCTTTGTAAAATTGAAGACATTTGTTTGGTCGATCAAATCGCTTTCTTGAAATTTTCTGACTCTTATGACGGTTTTGCGCAAAAGCAATATTTTAGGAGCGCGCTTCCTTAATTTTACTATGAACAATTTTGGGGCTTGGTCGACCAAAATGAATGGCCGCAAAACTGAATCGCATGGCAAATTTTTTGGGTGTCAGGGAGTCGAATCTCAGAGGATGGATCTTGTTAACTATTTACCCTTTTTGCAAAAGGGGGGATAGTTTACAAAGTACAAACCTCGTATATGCTTAACTGCTCAGTTTTTTCTTTATAGGGGGGATTCGTTACAAGGTACCATAGGGGGGAATAGTTAATAAGAACCCAGAGGATTAAGTGCCCAACAATTGTGACAAAGGTAACCCCAAAAACTAACAGCTTCCCTTATGTACACATGAAGTCTCAAATAATTGCCTCGGCGATAACGCATCAAATAATATAACGCAACTGGGACGGACCGTTAATTAGTTTTGAGAAAAAATCTTCAAACCGACCGTGAGAGATCTATTGAATTATACAATTGCAGTGGCTCATTCATTGCCAGAATATTGTGTACTTTAATAAGTAAAATTCGTAAAAAGTTTATTTTAGTTTCATTTCATACTACTAGTAGATTCAGAAGTCTTTAAATAAGGTAAGGCGTTCACTTTGAGCGCGGCAGATAGTGCGTTGGTTCCTCTGCCATGTAAATGATAGTCTGCGTGGACGACCTCTTCCTTCGGATCTACGACAGCTTGACCAATTTAAGCTGCAATAGTGGTACCACATGAATGTCCTAGACTCAAAAAAAAGCTCAGCGGATATGAGGAAGGACAAGTGTGAGGTTAAAACAAACGGTTTTTCTTCGAGAGAACTGATAGCATTTCTTAGATCCTCAGCAAATTGCAGGAAGCTTAAATGTTATGATTATTTAATGGTTTTTTTTAATCCGGTCAGAAAATAGGCGAAATGAACATGCTGTTCTTTTTAAATTATTGCTAGACAGACAATCAAGATTGAGTTTGTCATTTTATATCAAATGAGGGAAGGTTTTTGAAAAATAAAAAATCATTGTAGGATAGTCATTTTTTCGAATATTTATCAAACTATAGGGGACTTTGTCAAAAACAGTTCTCGATCATGGGAGCAGTTTTGTTTTACCTAAGCAAGTTTTGTTAAAGCTACTATTGACAAAAACTGGCAGATGGCACCCTAGTAAAACTACGGAGCGTCAGCCAAAACTAATTCAATCTAAAGTAAAGATGTGCTATAATCCTGAATAACTCCCCGGCAGGAAGATTAAGAGTATCACAATATCTGATAGCATCTGCACCATGGTCTCTTGAGAAAAGTCAAGCATTAGCCACCAACAAACCAGACACAATAAAAAATGCTGATGTAGAAAAAAACAGACCAGATAGAATGCTAAGGCAGCAAAAGTAAACTATTTATAAAATTTCAACCTGTAAATTTACCACCAAATGAAGGAATACTCTAATTTGCTTTTTGAATTGTTAGAAGTAGTTCGTAAGATAGCATTACGATCAGCTTATGTGAATAGTTGTAATCAGTAATCAATTAATTGACGATCTAGATTGAAACAGTTTTTCAATGTTTAAAAGATGAAAAGGGCGAAAAGTGTTAAGAAGCGAAAAATGATATTCAAATGTAAATAAAATTGCAGATATATTCAAGAACCTGTAACTTCGCAAACAAGCGAAAAAACGGCGAAAAATATCCCTGAGAAAGTGAAATAGGAAAGAAGAAGTTTAAGTAAAAAAGATTCTGCTGTTTCTGAATCGACCCCTTAGGAGATTGAGGGTCTCGCGTACTAGAATCTGCGCCGCTTGACCAAACTCTCGAGGGGAGAGATTATAAGATTTTGTCGAATTGAAAATTAATATCAACCATTTGACACTTCGAACTCTCCTTTTTCAGTAACATTGCCAATAGACAGTTGAAAAGGGCCAATGAACAAAAGAAAGCAAAAAAAACTGATTTTTGAAGACATTTCACCTTTCTTATTTCAAGGGAAAAAGTGATTTGAAGTAAACTGGATCAAAAATGGAAACTTTTATTCCACTGGAAAATCTTATACTTTAAGCTACTTTCGAAACAAGGAGTCGGGCATGTTTTAGCGCGACTCCCGTATTTGGAAAGTGTAATTAACTTTCATTATAGCAAATGAATTTAACTCAACTTGAAAATAAATCAAAAGCCAAACCGCAAAAAAATCAAAATTAAGCTTAAGTTATATCAGGTTTAAGCTCTTTATAAATCAAGATTTTTTTATCAAAATTTTTTTGATATATTGAGATAACTAGACAAGTTTTATAATCCGCTGGGAAATCTGAAAATCAAAATTCATTTTCAAAACTTGAAGTCAAAACCGTTTTTCGTGCCATTTACACTTTTGCTGTTCGATAGTTTGCTGAACAGATTTCCAGTCAAGGAAGGGAATGAATTAAACTATGGAAATGAACTTAAAATATTTCATGTCGCAAACCGCAAAAGATGAAGTTAGAGCGTGAACAAATTTTATATTTTTACTGAAAAACAAAAGAAAAAATCATCAAGACTGCACAGCGTTCGTCGGATCTTAATAAGCATCTAAATTTGACTTAAGTTTCTGTGAAGCAGAGGAATCTGTAGAACAGCATTGCAAAAATTAAGACTCGGTCAGACAAAAATGGATGTCCTTAAGTAGTACAAAAGGTTGTACCCTTTTGATTGACGATGGGATCAAAGCCCTAATGGGGAAGGGGTCCGCTCCAACTTAAATCTTGTTAAATCCGCTACAGGTTATAGGCATCAATTTGGCATACACTGTAAAGTAAATGGAAATTAGTTGGTGATGATCTTATGATTTTACTTTGTGGTTGCCATCAACGTTTCGGTTATGGATAATCGTCGACTTTCGGTGTCATAACAATATCGTGTCAACATCCACATGCAAATTTTTACGGAGATCGTGAGCGAATTTTTACCCATATCGTATTTTTGTTAGGAAGCGCTTCAACGGTCACACAAATACTGCATACTTTCTTCAATCGATGTGTTCGTCTAACTGGCCGTTCGGTACAAAAAACGATTTAATCTAAGCTAAAAGAGCGAATAAAAAACTAACTTGAATTCCCTCGAAAGATAATCGAAAGAAAAGTTTTTACATATCAGACCAATTCAAGAAAACGAAAATAATCCAATCGCACCTCAAAACAGAAAAGCACAGCTTTAGTAGATATCATAATAAATTTCACTCGTTAACTCAACGGAAAATTACAAAGAAAAACATGCCAACATTTCAAGCAGTAAGTTTTTGTAGCACTTTTGCATCTTAATTTTTAACTTTCACAGTGCAACAAAATTTGATTCAATATGATTTTGAAACTTGGTTGTATAAAGTTTATCTTTGGTGAATTTGGCATGCTTAATCCAATAAACCAAAAAAAAACATTTAGGCAAAGCAAGAATGATGATGATGAGCTGCAAATATGAAGAAAGCGATAACCCCAATACAAAAAGTATGATCAGCTTGACGAAATATTATCTTTTTATCAATTTATCACAACTAAACTAACTAATCACATAGAAAGAACGATGTTCGGAAGTGAATTAAAGCCGAAACCTTGATTAACATTTGCGCAAGGCCAACAGAAGGTAATAATTGAGGTTAAAAACCAATCGCAGATTGGGTAATATAACAAAATAACACCACAAGTTTTTCAAGCAAATATTTACTGCCTTACTAGAACCAAAATGAAGACGTCAAAATTGATACAGTAAATGCAGTTTGAAATTGGACAGGTTAGTATCGCCCGGTCAACAGGTAGTTAAAAGGTAGGTTTTAGAAACATTGATCACAATCTAAAGAAATATTTGATGTCCATGGATGATTTTGTGAATTTGGTAGAAAAATAAAATATTATTCACTTCGAAGATCTGTTCAATTATGCACGCAAATGGTTCACAAGTCTTTTATTTAGAAAGAAATAATAGTTACTCAAGCCAAGAACATTGATCAGTTTTTAAGTCAACGCGGTTATCGAAAAGAATTTTTTCAGCTCAGCTCAACTTTTTGTTTGATAAAGTTTTCCGCGAAAACTTTTTTCTGTGGCTCCAATTTTATAATGATGAAAAATCAAGCTAACAAAAATAAGTAAACGCCAATATCCGTTTAAGTTGCAGGTATAAATAACCAATAATCATGTGACACTCTATTGCTCGTTTAAACAAAACAGCAAAACAATCCCAAAAATAATGACAGAAATTAGGGAAACAAAAACTTTTGAGATTATTCTGTGCAATAATTTTCACACACAAAATGCAGCAAGCACAAAAGCAATTACAAAGTAGAGCAAACAGAACCTTGCCGACAAAGCTTTAAAAACATTTGAAACAATTTGAGCTTTGGCAACCAGATTGATGAACGTTTTGAGACATATATACAGAATTATAATGAGAGCAGAAAACAAAAGAAGGAAAACGATAATTCTTCAAAAAAATTCACATCACATTCTTGACCAGTTAAGTTGAGTTCTCTAACTAAATCTAAGACAGTGTTCTTTGAACTGCTTCGCCCATGTTTCCACATTCCTTTACTCGGTCTCAAATAATTAACTTTTCCGATTCTTGAACTCCTCTCTTCCTTCTGTATTCCACATCTCTTTCTACAATGTATCTACCCTTTAAGGCCCGGGAAAGGGAGTTGTCGTTAAGGCCGCTTCTGCGTCAAGTTTCCTCTGTTCGCAAAAAGAGGGCTCACTCTTGCTTGACAAAACTGTTTCCAATGCCAGGTAGTTTCCTTGAATGAACAGAGCACACCCGAATGCAAACAGCAGAGCCCCGACGAAGATCACAAATCTCATCAAGTTGTCGCCCAGCTCTTCGCGACGCGAGTATCCGATTTTGACTAAGAAGGCACCTAGAAGCAGAACCTTTATCAAAATCTAACTAAGAAAAAAGACCAAAAGGCTAACAGACCTTTCTGGCGTTCTTCTCATTTGAGAATTTTCTGGATACATTTTGTATATAAAAAATGGCTCCCTGAAAGCATATTCACTTATTATAAAAATGTTAAAATATTTAGATCACTTTTGAAATAAAACAGCCAACAGACAGTTGGAAAGGTATCAATGTAGCTTTTGTCTTCTTTTTGAATTCAAACTAGTTTGCTAAGAGGAATGCAAATTACAACTTCCAATTACGAAAGAGGAAATGTCGCGTAAAAACAAGAACACTTTCTTGTTTCGAAAGTGGATACCAACAAAATGAAAATTCACCTTTTGATCCAGTTTTCTCCATTTGTTTCTCATTCTAAAAAAGTGTCAATCATAAATTGTTCTTGAAATTCGAAAAGCTCCAAAGCCATTTATTTTTTTTGGAATTCAACACAGAGCAATGAAAATTTTCTAGGCTAGGCAGTTTTACGGAAGATATAAACTTACTTTACAAAAAGGCGAAAATGCACTTCGCATACAAGCAAATATATGACCGATAACGCAACTGGGAAAAACCGAATGAGTCAAACGCGGAGTCTACAAAATTTCTTAAAAGACGCACGCCAATTATGAGTCTACTTAATTGCTTAGTGACCCAAGCCAATTATGACGCATAACAGTACCAGTCAATTTGAAAAAAAAAAAAGAAATGTACCACTAATTTATAGAACGGACGCATTTTAGCTAGCATACGAAAAAATTTATTAAAAACATCTTCGAACCCTCTTATTTTATTGCGAGTCTCCTTCCCTAATCTACACTACAGATCCATGATACATAGAAGCTAAAGTGCTATTTGTAATATAATAGTCTGTGTTAATATCCTTAGCATTGGATGTACTTAATAGCTGGTTATTGATCAAAATGAGCACATTTTGACGCAACAATATTTGGAATAGTTGGAAAAAAGAGAACTTATACTATCACACAAGCTTTGCTTGTGTAAAAACACAAAAAACACATTGTTTTTCTTCGGTTTTCAGTCTTCTTGAAAGTTTTTTATTAACAATGTATTACTTTTTCTTATTTTCGTACTGTACCATTTTCGTTCGCTGTTTCTTCGGCAGTTTAGACAGAGAACAACTTTAACACAAAGGCGAAACCAAGCTTCGCACCAGTAGCGATACTGCAAACATAGTATGACAAACTAACCGACAGAAATTATAACAAAGCCACAGAAAAAAATGTCGAATTTCCTTGAATAAAGTTCCCTTCAAGGAAAACATTCTAATTGAGACAACTGAAAATTAAATTAGCATCGAAACAAAACTAGCGAAACGGTAAAAAAGCCGACAATTCTAGAGTAGACACACATTTGGCCGAAAAAAAATCAAAAAATATTAAAATCTCAAATGTCTCAAAAATAGGCTGCATAGCCGATATATTACAACCCTAAACCAAAGTAAAATAAATCATAGATTGTTATACTTATTCTCGTTTTTATTTCATTTTGTATTCAAATGGAAGTCACTGCTTTGTTTCAAAGACTTTTGCTTCTCCAGAGAAAGATAAATGACACGCAAAAACTGCATGAATGTCTCAATAAAGAGGGTTGAAGCCGTGCGAACAAAGTACCTGGGAACACGAAGTAGAAGAATACGGCGACTGATCCGGCGAAGTTCATGGCCACTCCAATATTGGGGATGAAGAGACCGAGGACTAGCGTCAGGAGGTACCAACAGGTGGCCTCAATTATCCTCCTACGAGTGGACCAGGCCATAGGGTCATAGCTAGTGTCAAACAGTTTACGCACACCGGTGTACATCGGGTCGAACGCGTTCCTAGAACACAGCAACACTCTTTCAGATATTGTTATCAATTTTTATCGAAACGCTTTAAAAATTTGTTAAGACCATAAGTAGTCAAAAAAGTCGTTAATATCGTTTTCCAAATATATTTTCTAAATTTGCTAGAAAGTATATTGGATTTTAAATAGATTTCACACAATCGTAGATAATAAATCTTTTATATAAATTTATGCTCCAATATTTGAGCTAAAATGATAAAAGCTGAGTTATTAGTTTATAGCAATTATCGGCCAGCCCAATTTTGGCATGTTTACTATTATGCCCTTTTTGATATACTTACTATGTTTACTTGATGCCCCCCTGTTTTTTGAATTGATGCCTACTTTAATCCTATTCCAAGTGACCAACAGAATATATGACTCACCTTGCGACGTAGAACACGACGGGGTAAGTCATCATTACCGACGCCATCACTCCGATTTGCCCGATGAAGATGAGTGTCTCGTCTGGGTTGTAAGCCTTCAGAATGTTACTCGTAATCTAGGCAAGGTCAAGCTTAAATTAGTCTAAATCAAATCAAGGTTCAATCAAGGTCAGAGAGCTTTTAACTTTCAAACACCATGATAGAGACGCGAAGAAAATGGATCTACTTAACAAACCCCCATCCTATGGTATCTGCTAAAGAATCTCTCCCCCTTTAATTAAAAGCAGCAAATTTGCACTAGAGCGTTCTATTGAGAATACTTATTTTGCTGCTTTCTGATTGGTTCAATAATCGACAAACTTAATCCACTAAGCAATTTCCCCCAGTTCTTGAAAGGGAGAGATTGTTAAGTAGACCCTAGAAAATTTCAAAACCACGATAACGCGGCGAATCAAATATTGAGGCCGGCTCACTTTAGCTTTTTGAATATTACTTGATATAAAAACAAGCCAGTACAGCCACGCTGAATACGTTTTCCTGGTCTTTTCTGTGATACAGTCCAGAACTGATGTTTTTGCTATTTTTTAAAGTACGATGGTAATGCTCGAATTTGATTGGTTGAATATGTTTCTTGCTAATCCAAATCTGGATTTTCATTCAAACAAAAGCTCAAATAAAAATTTGGTAATTTTGAGCCGTATAACAAAAAAGACACCGTCTTTCCAGTCTCGCTTTCGAGTCTAAATGAAATGAACTTTGCTGACCCTGGTTCCATGTGTGAGATAACCGAAGAGTGCAGTTGGCAGATAGACCACTGTGCAGATGAGGATGGTGCCAGAAGTGATCTGCAGCCACGTGGCGGATGTCTTCTTCTTTAGGTTCGCATACACTGGGGGCGCATTCGTCATACACTAGAGTTACACACAATAGTATAAGCTAATTTAATACCCTTTTGTAGCATTCCGAACTAGTAGACCAAAATTATCATTAACCGAATGACAATAGAGAAAGAAATGCAGAAAAAACTGAAATCCGGTACATTAGCGTATTTAAGATTCTTAACTTTAAACTTGAGTTTAACTCATTTGCCGGCTCAAACAGCAAAAACTGATGTTTTTGCTGTTTTAGTATGATGGTAATGCTCGAATATGATTGGTTGAATATGTTTCTAGCTAATCTAAATCTTAGCAAATTTTCGCTCATTTTGACAGCTTCCGCTTTGATGATCTATATGAAATGATACAATTGCCATCCCTGGTTTTGAAAGTAAGTTAACTTTTATATCGAACCTGGTATCCGAACAGAATGGTTGGAAAAGCGTTGAAGGCTGAGTACCAGTTATCGGGTCTAGAAAAAAAGAAAACTCTTTATTCAAAACATATTTGATCCTCGCCCGTTATCAATTCAAACTAATACAAAGCCTTAGAGAAAATTACGACAGTTGCAATCCATCATAAGAGAAATTAATCGAATCTAATGGAATCATTTTAGATTTTAAATTTCTATAATTCTCGGTTCTCTAAGATCCCTTTACATCTCTCCTATAATCTTCTTTGTCTTATGAAAGGAGCAACTGAAAGAGAATTTCTTTTTATAAAACTCCTCAAAAACAATTTTTTAGGGGCTGGAATTTTTTTGATTAAAATCCCATCTTAGTTTACAACTCACTGGTAATTCAGTTCCACTTTATCATGCACTTCCTCTCCGTCTAAGAAGTACTTGATGACTACTGCGATCATCAGGTAGATCATACTCCCCACACTAATTAGAGACGGGTACTTGAGGAAGTCGACCTTTTTCACTAGCAGGAGGGGATAGACGCAAATGACGGTGGCGAGGAAGATGGTGAGTTTGCGGTTGAAGAACCAAGGGTCACTGCAGAAATACTCTGGACCAGTTGTCCGGATGAAGACTAAAGAGGCAAAATAAGAGGAAACAAGTGCTCATCATTGGATGAATTTTTTTCGCTGATTTTGACAGTTTCCACTTTGATGATCTATATGGAATGATACAAAAAATCCAGTTTCAACTTTTTTTAAATAACCTTAAAAGAAACTTCAAACTTTTCAACAAACTTTTTTAAATAACTCTACAAATTTTTTTTAACAATTGCGATACAATTAAAACATTGAATTAACAAAGTCACTTTTTGAGAAATTAAACTGAAAAAGCTACTTGAAAAAGTCGGAAAAAACTTTAAATCTACAACAATTTTATACTTGTGTCTCAGATTAGGCTCATAAACAGCCTCAGCAAGCATAGAGAATCAATGACCGAGCGGCAAATAAGGCAAAAAGTTCGGTCGACCCTCATTAAGCCAAAAACGAAACAAAGATCATAAAAAAAATTCCAGCTATAAAAATTTTTAGATCAAAACTTTTACAAACCATCCCTCCAGGAGCATGCAAAATTTAAAAAAAAACTAGCCAGTGAAAAACTAAGCAACATCAGTTGACTAAGCCGACATAAGATAGGGTAGGCTGTAAAAAGTGGGGACGGGGAAAAAGAGACAAGGAGTTTATGCAGGCACGCGGAGGAGTAAACAGATTTTCGATCGGTACCACCTTTTTGCATATTGGAAAATTAGTCTTAAACCAAATCCCAAACATTTTCATAATACATGTTTTTATCAAACAAGAACAAACTGAGCATGCTAAGCTGCAGAAAAATTGAGCAGCAGAAAGTGTATGAAAAATTATTTACGGGAAAAAAGTCTAGGTCCCGATTAATAGTCATTTGCTCTCGCAAGTGAAATTACTATCATATTCGAGGTCAAGACCAAACTTAATCTACATTAAAGCTAACAACTATATCTGTAAATTTAAATTAAGTATCAACTATTAACAATGAGACGCTCAACATACCACTCATCTATCAAGACGGTGTCAGGACTATTTGCCCCAAGTCAATTGGCCCTATGCCAACTTGTCCTATACTAACTTGCCCTACATGGCAACTTGTCCTATGCCAACTTGCCCCACATGACATTTTGTCCTATACCGTTTTGTCCCATACTTAACACTTTTAATTGATTCTTTGATGTTCAAATTGAGGACCAGCAAGTGCTAATCTACACTGGACTCGTACTGAGATAACAAAAGACTCTAATCGTACAGGGTCCAAATTTTGAGAGCTGATAAAGGCCAATACTGCAATAATTTTGCTCTTTCCCTCACCCCGCCCCCTTTTCTGGGTTACCCAGTATAGGGGGGTTTTAGGGGCGCGGCAGTACCTGCGGTTTTCCGTTTCATTGATTTCAAACTAAAATATTTTGACTTCTTCAAGTTTTGAACTCTTGACTTCTTGATTAAGAGTGTTGTGCACTATTAACTATGCTATAGGAGCTTACAAGAACTGCAATTAATCTTTTGAAATGTTAAACTCCACATGGAAATTGCATTGGCATTTGCCGCTTTCATTTTGTTCATGCATGCTTTCAACTCATTTTGATTCAGCACATGTTTTAATGATTCCGCATTTTGTTTCAAACTTAATTGTTCAACAAAAATATCTTTCATCTTTATGCCGACATTATGTTCGACGAGGATATCAAAGAATCTGGGGCAAGTTTCAGTTTTTATTATCTGGTACAAGACGGCATTGGACAAGTTGTCATCTGGGGCAAGTTGGAATCGGACAAGTTGGGCTGGGACATGTTGACTTGGGGCCAACCATCAAGACCCCGAACATGCAAGTCATTCGATTGATTCTCTTCGCATTGACGCTTTCGCTCGTTTTTAGGGCATCAAAATGGCTTTTCAAGCTCCTGTCGAATCCCAAAAAGAAGCTAAATTACTATATTTTCTGCACAACATGCTGCTGCTACGTAGCATTATGGACTGTATAAAGCTAGTGAACAGGTCAAAAAAATTGCTGAATGTGGATAACTATCACTGGAATTATCATGAAAAAAAGACCTTAAAGAAACGCTAGCAAACGGAGAGGTAATGGTGATCTACTAGTCAGTACTAAATATACTGGAGGAAAAAGAGCCAATATACTTAATTGTCATCAGTTAACTTCTGTATATTTGGCGGATAATCAACAAACCGCCATGTCTACAAACCGCCATATCTTGACGTCGAAATTGCATCAGAATAATGTAAATTACATCAGAATTACGTAATAATTGCATAACAACCATGAAAATATGTTGCTATGTTGCAAAACAATGTTAATTTTCGGTTTGTTGGAATAGTAATTTTATTTTCGGTTTGTTGGCCCTTCGGCTTGTTGGCCTACCACCGTTTATTTTCTGTTTGAAAGCAATATATTAACTTGGCAAAATAGTCTAAATTTATAACATTAATCGTAATAGGTTTACTAACTCAGTTCCAGCTGGTCCCCTATGATGACGAAATACATAGTGCAGGCTGCTAGGTTGGCTACTACAAGGCAGAGTTGGAGGAGGAGTTCTGCCACCCACCCCAGCAGTTCCCGCCCCATTTCATGGAACTCACTGGAGCGACAGAGGCCACAGACGTAGCCACAGATGAGTAAGGAGAGTGAGCACAGACACGCACATACCTGCAACAAACAAACCAATTGAACGCATTCTTTATTAATTATGGTTTTCGAAAACTTGACTTCGAATGTTGAGTGTTGATGAAATCAAGTAGACCGTAAAACAATCTGAACCTTTAAAAAAAAAATTCAACGTTCGAGTTTCAAAAAATACCTTTATCATCTTCGAGATCATGTAACAACAAGAACCTTCTATGCTTGGCTTTTTTGAGAGAAAACCAACTCAAATATTAGAATAAAGTTTTGATACGATATGTCAATCACATTTGCACGCGCCACTTGCACTCTAGTTGGAAAAAAGTAGTCACCTAAAACAATACATTGTAAAAAAAGAATGAGATAAGATATGTGGCTTTATTTGAATTTGAAGGAATTTGAACAAAAAACATAGCCAACAGACAGTTCGAAAATTGAATTGCTAACTATTCAGAATATTCAACATTTAAATTTTATTTTGATAGCTTCAACTGTTGAGCAAAAGCTATTCAAATCAAGGTGATTTGATAGCTGAGGTCAGCTCACAAAAAATGAATATTCTCAAGCCAAAAAGTTCAATTTGAGTTGGTTGGGAAAACTTGAAGCATATGAAAAAAAATGAAGAATTAAATTTGTTCAGAGGATTTGTTCGAAGGACTCATCGAAGCATTAACAATTAAAAAGACGATTGGAGACTTTTCAAGATGAACAAGATGAAAGTTTTCAAAGACGTTTCAAGATGATAGTTTAAAATTTTGCATTTGTTTTGATGGTTCAATTAGGTTCACAAAACGTTTTTGAAGCAATACATTCAATTGTGATATTTTAGGGCAAGCTATTTAAATAGATATATTTTATGCAAAAAAAAAAACAGATTTTTCCAACCAAGCTATTCAACGGATGAAATATTGACAGATCACAAAAGTATTGACGACTTGCAAAATCGCAAAAAACAGTATGCAGGAACTTCTCTTTTCATATTTTACACAGAGGTGAAGTTGCACTTCGCATACACAAGTAAAAATATGACCGATAGCGCTACTGGGAAAAACTGAATGAGTAAATCTTCGAGTCTATAAAATTTTTTAAGTGACGCACGCCAATTATGACGCATTAGCAGTACCAGTAAAGTTGGAAAAAAATTTAACAACTAACCCCCTCAATCTATAGAGCGGTAATAACATGAAAAAAATAAATGTTATAAAAATAAAATGAATTTTTTTAATTTGAGATTTTTAGTGAAAATCATGCCCCCCTACGCCATATAAAAAACAAAGTGATAAGTTTCACTCCAATTAACAAAACAATTATGGCGAATAAGCTTCCTTCAACCAATTTGGAACAATTTCTAAGACGGATTAAATCTCCGCTTACGCGTTAATAGCGCGAAATACAACGCGCGTTAATTATCCCAAATTAGCCAAAATGGCAATTTTAAACCCCCATAGCTTTACGAAAAAAAATCACAGCTAAAATATCTTTCCAAATTTAAGCTCAAGACAACATACCTTTTGAATGATATTTTAAAAATCCCGTCAAAAATAGCTAGTTAAAAAGTCGAAACTTGTCTGAAGAAAAAACCACCCCAAACAAATATTCCGTTACTTTCGTGACGAAAGTCGGAACGATAATAACAATTGTCTCTGTTAAAATCTTTAGCATTGGATGTACTTAACAGCTGGTTATTGATCAAAATGAACACTTTCAAAATGAACACATTTTATCGCAACAATATTTGCGTCGCAACAACATTTGCGACTTAGGTTGGAGGAAAAAAAAGATAGTTCATACTATAACACAAGCTTTGCTTGTGTAAATATGAAAAATTAAAGATGAAGGTTTTCCAGCCATTCAATCAAAACATTTCAACTTGTTTCAAATACCATTATTTCGCAGTAGATTTTTTTGTAAATCAATCAGTTTAACAGATGGAGGATTAAATGATATTAAATTAATTTTCAAGGTTTGAATTGATAACTCAGAAGCCTCAAATTCTTCAAAAAAGCAAAGTAAGTAAGTAAGTAAGGACAAATCTCGAATGACTTTTGAAGGAATGATATGATATGAAAAACAAGTTTGTTAGCAAGCAAATCCAACTTAACATTTTCAGTGGTTTGATTTTTTTTTCGGTTTGAACAAAACATAGCATGCAACGCTTAACAGCGACATAATTCATGTTTTCAAAAAATTTATATAAGATTAAGTGCAATGCAAGCATTATCTGACCTTTATCATACATAAAAGCCCACTTGACACGTTAAGACAGGTCTGACCGGATTCAAATTCATTACGATTGTCGTATCACGCAACAAAAAAGGTAACTACGTCAAAATAATATATAAACTAACAATTTAAGCCGAATTTAGGTTTATAGCAAAAAAAGCAAGAAGGAAACCCAAATAAAATATACAAAATCAGGGCTAATAATTTTACAATATACAGAAGTAAATCAAAAACTATGCATAAACCATGAAAATTGCTGATAGAACAAGAAAATTCCCCCATTCTGCATCTAAGCCGACAAAATATAAGCATACAAACGAAAGTCCGACGACAATTCATTTTTTTTTGGAAAAAAATTCCAATTACATAATAAAAAAAATTAACAAGGTCTGGCCGGGACTCGAACCCTACACCTCGTTACCTCTGGGCCAAGTGGTAACGAAACTGGAAGTTGTTAAGTTTCAACACAGAGGCAAAGCTGCAACTTCGCAAACACGAGCGAGAAAGCGACAAACATACTGAGCTTTAGAATGCGCAAAAACTCAATTTTGATTTTACTTTTTTTTCGGAAAGTATTTGACTCAAAGCAACCACACTAATTTGTAATAAATTAGAATGTAAAAAACCAAATTGCGTATGATTTTAGCATCCCAGAACCTCGCGGAGTATATCGAAGGAAAAACTCTGAGACGGGATTTTAATTATACTGTTGTATGAAACAAATAGCTTTTTTCGGTTCAATTGATGAAATAAGAAAAAGCATAAACTATGTGAACTAATTGCTAATGCGCTTTGTTATTGGTCCCACTTTCGAAGAAAACGGAATATTTATGCTCGGTGAGGTTTTTTCATTCAGTCAATTTTCACCGATCGAAATAAAAATTTTCAACTATTTTTTTATACACCATTGAAGATATCGACTTCCTAAGTTAAAATGTAAAAAGATATTTCACCTCCGATAATTTTTTGTAAAGTTCTGGGGGTTTGAAAATTGCCAAATTTGCCATGTTGTGGACTAAATTATACGCGTTTTGAAGACTTCATTCATAATGCTGAGAGCGTAACGCAAATTATTTATGCGTGGCGAATTATCCCGCACAACAAAATCGTTCCAAATTGAACTGAGGCTAGCTAATTGGTCGTATTAATTTCGTACGATTCAAAATTTTACACTTTGGTATTGTCCAAAATGTATAGGTTTTCAATACTATCTTTTCCTAAAAACTATTCGATATGAATTAAGGGACAGTCGGAACATTCAAGGCTTTTACCTGATATACGAGCAGTATTGTTTTCATTACTAATCAAATGACAAAACATGGGATTATAATGCCAATGCAGCCAACTTATTCAACAATGTCACGAAAAGTATTCCGATTTAATCACAAGTGTTGCAAGTTGATTTTGAAGACTGTAATCAATTCTCAAAACGTCATTTTTCTTGACAACCAATGCAAACAAAGAAACTCAGTGATACTTCTTATTTTGAAGGCCCTAATTCGCAAAACATGAAGTTTTCAGACATCGAAAAATCAAATTAGATGATCTAAGAAGTATAACATCTTTTAAGCAAAGCATTATTTCCAGTCAAATGATTTCTGTTCACGCTGCTGAGTACAATATAAATTTTACAAAGACAACTATACATCTGTGACTACAATCTAGATAATAGTCGGAGTTTGAGAGGACAATACTAACGATAATCCTTTATAGAAAGACATTTAGGCACGTTTTTTTTAGGTCACGCTTAGATCTTCTCAGTAATTATTGACATTGAAGAAGCCGATACAAGATTAAAATTCCTCTAATTACGCTTTATTTGAGCTAGAAATTAAAGCGTGCTTCAATCACAGCTTCGTGATGAAATTCGTCTGATGAAAAAAAACGACTCATGCACGATTTATACAACTTTCGATTCATACGCCTCCCTTCGATAGTGACCCGTTGGGTGCATAAGTAGTTCAATTTTCAGCGAATCATCATCAGAACTCAGCATCTGGCATGTCGCCGTAGATCATAAAAGTTTCCGTTTGTTTGAAGGGATAAGTTTGTTCACATGGTTAGTTTAGGATGGAGGATTGGTCACATGTTCTGCAAATTGGTCACATGTAACGAAGTAATTTTCGCAGCATGTTTTCAAAACTCGTGATCTAAATCTGACTAGCTTCTTGTAGAAGACAATGTCCTTTTCAAGTTAGAGGTGAAAACAAAGCATAGCAGCAATCAAGTAGTACAAAATGAAACTTACTATTTTCTATGCAAGCGCAGCAGTGTTTACTTGATTCTTTACTATTCATTCACTACTTCAAAGTCGAACGAGACATAAAACGGCGTTCATTCATCGCGGCACATGATTTTTATGGCCCGACTAGTTAAACTAACTAAATAGTAAATGAATTTTGTAATCCATCCAGGCTGTAGATGATACAAGCGAAGATATCTCAGTGACAAACTTTGGTGACTAACCAGGCCAAGCAAACTACAAAAATGATTGAGACCAGCAAAAATTCGAAAATCAGACATATTTTGAAAACTTGTCTATATTTGAAGCAATTTATTTGAAGCAATTTAGTTCTATTATTGTTGACGCAGTAAATTCGACTGGGTAAAAAAGTTTGCTACCTGTCATTTATGTCTCACTGTTTAATGTTACGTTTGCGAGATCAAAAACTACAAAAGCTAAATATGGACCGTTAATGCTCTTTGATTTTAAAGAATCTTTTATGATTGGCCCTTTTTTCATAAAATAAACCAATTTGGAGAAAACTGGGTAAGAGGTAGTTTCTTTTTTCCGCAGGAAAATGCTTTATTCTGAAAATGGAGGCTCATTTTTGATACGAAAAGTCATGCATATTTTTTCGCGACACTAGCACTTTTTTCATTGGAGAGTTTTTTAGCTTTCATTTGCCAAAGGTTTTTTAAATGAACTTAGGAAGAAATCAGAAGTCAAACAGCAAAAAATTTATTTGAGTAAGAGTCACATTTGATCAATTTTCTTTTAAAAAAACGGAAACACAACACGACGTAAATAAATGTCTTCACTTCGTTCTATGATATTTAAATGTGACAAATATTTTTACCTCTTTAAGATTCAGACTTGCGTGCGTGCGTGCCTACTGGTTTTTGGGTGCAACATAACAGGTTACCATTGCAGGGCCCACTAAAATTGTTCAGTTGCTCGATATTGAAAAAAAAATAGCAGCGATAATAAGAGTAACATGCAGAACCAATCATTCCATTTGATGAGTTCAAGTTGATAGATACATCATCGTAGCATAATACCAGTTCTTCGTTACCTTCATTTCCCGTTAGCCACATTCAGGGTGTCACCAAGCTGAGAAAAAAACCAAAAAAAAAATTAGTGCCCACAAGCAAAAGTACCGCCAATCTGTAGCAAAAGAACGAATCGCAAATTTTTGTTAGAAAACCGAACCAACAAAAATGGGGCCTGCGTTCTAAGGTTAATAAAAACGGAAACGGGCACTATTGTCAAGGCTTGCATGCAACCTGAAGCACTATTAAAAAGAATTAGTATGATACTACAATATCACCCAAAACTTTTCAGGAAAAAACTGTTCATTTAGTCCCTAAAACAACCACAATAACTGAGGTTTGCATGCTGAAGCATTACTAAAACGCTGTAAAAACGTCAAAGCACTTAAGCGTCTCACAAGTTCCTTGGAAAACAAACAATCAACCGACAAATGAAAGGAACAACTTACAAAGATCATGATCACTCCTACGTACAATCCTCCCGCCTCCTTGAACGCGTGTGCGAAGGCCAGAGCACCACATCCTATAGCCGCATTTGATACTATGAAAGTGCCTCCAAGTGCTGTTGTTGTGCCGTCGATTCCTTCGCGTGTGGGAATGTTGTCTTTTTTGATGTCAGATTCGTAGTCGTAAGACTCCTTGTTGTCAATTGGTCCGCTTGGTGGCTGGTGGTACTCTTCAATTGCCGATCCATTCGGGGCAGTTTCTATATGATTACTATGGCGTCCGTTTGATGCAACGCCATTTGACTTGCTTCAAAAACAACACACTTCAGATTCAATAGGAAGAGTTTTTTATGCTTGATTCAAAACAACACATTTCTTCTTCAGATTTAATACGAAAAACTGGTGATGCTCAATAATAATAGAAATTAAATACAAAAATATGGCTTTCCTTAAATTGTTTTTCATTTAAATTGATGCGTTTATATTAAAAATTTTCAATCAAATTTTTTTGGGCTAGTTTTCACATTTAAACACAGAGACGAAGCTGAGCTACGCACCATTTGTGAATCAATACTCGAAAAAAATGGTCGAAAAAACTTGAAAAAATAGAGAAAATCATCGAAACTAAGAAAATTTGAAAAATTTTTATCTACTCTTAAAACAAAAATAAATAAATTAAATACAATATAACGTAGAAATTTATCATAGGAAAATTTAAAAAGGGAGTCTCACATCCTCACATTTAGATCATTTGGAGGTAAACAGTGGCGCAGCTAACGCTGGACGCACCTGTTTTAATATTTTAACCTTTGATTGTACTGATACCGAAATAAGTAATTTTCAAAGTTTAAAAACATGCACTTTACGCAAAGCCCTAGTGATTTCCCTATAAAGTAGAGGATTAGCTGCTTATTTAGAGGAAAAACTACTACTCGCTCTTTGAACTGAATTCTTTATCAGATTTGGCTGAAACGATAAATTATTGTATGAATTGACTTTGCCTAAATCCATTAACTTTTTTTCAATAATGTACATGGGAATAGTATCTTATACAGGGAAACTTTCACAACCTGATTTTCAGATTGAGCCCTTAATTTCAGATTTAGCAAGTAATTTTCTACAAAAAAAACGGTTAAAATTTTTTAAAAAAGGATTTTTGGAGTAACCTTGTTGGTTTTTAAAAAAAAAACAGGGTGAAAAAAGGTAAACACGGAAAATGTAAGCACTATGTTAGTTTGATTGAAGTTACAGCCCTAGAATCAGCGGTTAGTTTTTTTCTAAAAAAAATTCCAAAAATTAAGGCCATAATTTTTTCAAATCACAGGGCATAGCCACTTGTACAGGTCAGATTCATATGATTGTTTTCTATTTCGCTTCAACCCTTAATTTCCGATTTGGCAGGGTAGTTATTGAGAAAAAACAAAGTTTTAAAAAATAACAAAAATGTCAAAAAATGGGCTTGTTTGAGACCATAACTTTTTTCTACCAAATTCAAGGAATTGCCGCCTAAGAAGGAGCATCCCCATGATTTTTTCTTTTGATTGAAACGTTTATATCAGATTTGTGCAATAAAAACTGAGAAAGAGAAAAAAATCAAATAAGTCAAAAACCCCCTTCGAAACTTTCAATGGCCGTAGAGACTGCCAAAATTTGCAGGTACGTCAAAAAAGCCACCAGTTTGTCCATGGGTATCATTTTTTTTTTGAAAATCGGCTCAGGTGTTTTTGTGAAAAATTTGAATTTCAGCAAAAAAAGCAATAAATTTCCAGAGCGTCGCAATAAAAAACGACAAAAAACATCAAATCCCATACATTTTAATAATACATGTTGTTTTCAACAGGACCTTACAATAGCCAAAAAAACGCAGCACATGCTTTTAAATTTCCTCTGCTTGAATAGGCTTAAATATGATTAGATTGAAATATACCAAAAGTGTCACCAATGAGCACTTGTATTTGCGAGTTAGGTTGAAAAAAACCTTCTTAATAATACAGTAGGCTTCGCTTGTGCAAACAAGGCAAGTTGGCAAAAACTCAACCAAAATAAAAAAACATATTTCGAATCAGCCTTATATTTGAAGGCTAAGATGCTCAAAATATCTGCAACAGAAGAGCCCAGTGGATGAATGAGTCCAGGCTCTAGGACTTGAGTCCTGGGACCAAAGTTACTTACGGGAAAAAGTGTTGTACCCGATTGCAAAATTGTTTATTCAAATGGAAAATCACTGTCATTAGCAATTAATTATAAGATACATGCGAATAATTCATAAAAATGAAAAATCATTTTAAAAACAAAATGAATGAAATGAAAGATGTCACCAACCCATATTAATGTGGAAAAACGTGACGCAATGATCAATACCTTGCAAAAACGAAAGAAAACTGGCACTAAAACTGAGCACAAGTTAAAACTTGACACTAAAAACAAACTTGTTTTGGAATACTTAATTCAATATTTGACAGGTTCAAAATAAATTATGACAGGCAAGTGAATCTCAAAAATCCAAATAATATTACACCTTTTTCTGAAAAACCGTATTTTCATATCTGCTTCGTCGCTCTTATCTAAACTGTATTCTATATTGTAGCAATATTTTTTAGACCTGATGGCGTAGCAACTGACCATTAAGCAAATATTTGGGATCCGATGCTAATAAAAGTGAGAACTAGTTAACAATCTCTCCCCTTTTGAATTCTTCAATAAGTTAATTTTGACTAGCATTTTGAAATAATTGTACGAAAAATAATAAAACTTTTAAAACTGTTCACTCCTCAGAAACTTTGAAGGGTTGAAGGGTATACTTTACATAGAGGCGAAGAGGAGCTTCACATAACTTGCGCTACAACACAAACATAATAAAAAAAGTCCAAAAAAGAAAAAGGTTGAAAAAAATCTAGGACTACCAAAACTTTCGCATAGAAGTTCATCGATTGAAGTTCATTCTAGGCAAACACGCCAAGAAAAATATTTGAATATTCAATTAGCAATGGAAAAAAACTTACGAAGCGGAAACAGAATCGACAACCTTTGAGCAGACATCAGTTGAGCGGAAAAAAAATTCGTAAAAAAGTCAGCCCCCCCCCCCCCAAACCACAATGCACAACACTTGCAACTATAATGAAAATTGCTAATGCAAAAAAAAGTGATGTGACAACTGAGCCGACAAAATTTGAGCAGACAGACCAAAATCTGACGATTCAATTTTTTACCGGAAAAATTCAGTTCCATGCAGGCCGAAAAAAAACGGGTTAAGGCCGGGACCTTAGGGTGTAAAAGCGACTAAGTTACCTCTAGGCCAAGTGGCAACGCGCTTGGAAGTCGTTCAATAATAAAGCTAGTAAAAAAAATTCGAGTAAGATTGGCAAGAATTATTTAGTGAAAAAAGGGCTCTTTTTCCTTTTCCCTCACCTCGCTCGAGCATCAATTTTATGGTGTAACGAGTGGGTATGAAGACCTAAAATGTTTGTCATGACCTAATTAGTCCGCATGTCAATTTTCATAGCAATCGGACATAGTGAAAAAAAAATCGCGGATGGGGGGTGGAAGGGGAAAATGGTTTAAAAAATCTTGTTCCTGATTACAAGACACTCTCTCTCGCAAGTGCCTTGTAATAAGTGTAATAAGTAAAATTATCTCAAAAGAAATACATGCAAACAGTAGATCTAAAAGGAGGATATTTTCAAGTAGATAAGAAAACTCAATAAAATTTGTAAATATACTAGCGTGGTACAAACGTTCTTGTAAACCTTACCCATTTGATCTATGGACTAAGAGCTGATCTGCCTCGATATTGTTTCCGTCATCAGGAATAGGCATGTCTGAATAACTTGTATATAACTTTCGATATCCACTTCCACGTCTCTGAAACATATTCACGTAAAAATTCAGTCACAGTTTCCAAGTAGGTTCCAACAAGATTTGAAGAAAAGGATGAGAAAGTGAGATGAGACTATCAACTTCCTCAATGCTGTAATTAAACTGTTTCATTCAATATCCAAAAAACGGATGTTACTTAAATTTAAAAGCACGCTATAATTGCCTTTCGAGATTGATACCTACATTTTAAAATTCTGTCTCTGCATGTATCATATCGACACGGATCTGAAAAAATAACCGTTGTTGATTTTCAGAAACTCTATAGTAAACTTCCTAATTTCACAGTATAAATATGATGTCCACCCAGACCAGCTATTTCAGTAAAAGAAAAAGTTCAAATATACAAGAGTCTACTCAGTGAAATGAACTATTTAATGGATAAATGTTTCGGTAAAAATATCATAAATTCTTTGGTATTAGTTACTCATGATTCATTAATCAAAACCATAATTAACTCCGATGAATTGAGCTCAAAAAAGTAAATTCAGAAGGAAACTTTCTTTTTCTGACTAGTTATGCTCAAACATCATAGAACATCATGTCAGCTATAAATAGCTGCATAAAACCACCTGCCAAAAACATCCGGCATAATTAAACAATCAACTACGTCTCAAAAGAATTTAAAAAAACAATCGAGAAGAAATTGTGTGAGGCAGGAATGGAAGACTTAGATAGCTAGAGACGAGGACCCCCAGGTTGCTTTGAATACCTGAAATCAGAATATTGCGCCTCGAACGAAAAGTGAAAAAATTAAATTAATTTTCTTGAAAGTGTAGGCATTGTAAGCACAGAGGCTTCGCATACACAAGCAAAAATATGACCGTGAATGAGTTAAATTTTGAGTCATCAAAACTTCTTTAGTGACGCACGCCAATTATGAAGCATTAGCAGTACCAGTCAATATGAAAAAAATTTACCAAATAACATGCCTCAATTTATAGAGCAGTCTATGGAGCAGTAAAATCATAAAAAAATTAAATGTAATAAAATAAAAATGATTTTTTTTTTAATTAGAGATTTTTTGTGAAAATCATCCCCCCACCATATTAATTACAAAGTGATAAACTTAGCTCCTAGTAACATATCACTTATGGCAAATAAGCTTCCTTCAACCAATTTGGAACGATTTCTATGACGGATTAAATCTCCGCTTAGGTTTAATAGCGCGAAATATATCGCGCGTTAATTGTCCCAAATGGCTAAAAATTTTAAACCCCCAGCTCTTTAGACAAATGATCACAGGTAAAATATCATTCCAAATTTAAACTCAGGACAACAACACTTTTTGAAAGATACAAAAAATAAATTTCCGTCAAAAATGTTTTAATTTGTCTGAAGAAAAAACCACCCGAGCACAAATATACCGCTCTTTTCCTTACGAAAGTCGGAACAATAATAGTCTGTGTTAATATCCTTAGCATTGGTTGTAATTAATAGCTGGTTATTGATCGAAATGAACACTTTCAAAATGAACACATTTTATCGCAAGAATATTTGCGTCGCAACAGTATTTGCTACTTAGGTTGGGAAAAAAGACAGTTCACACTATAACACAAGTTGATGATACAAACATTTTTATCGATTTCAAAAGAAAATGCTAACCTAACACACCAAACTAATTGTAGCTCAAACTAAATTTACGCACCTTTGAAACAAAAAAATCACACATCCTTTATCCAAAAAAAAAGCTGAAAATTTAATGCCCAACTTTCTTTGCTAACAGAATATTTTGGCGAATCAAAATCAGGAAACTAGGAACTATATTTACCCTTTTGAAAATTAAGAAGAAATATTCGAAAAATCTACCAAAAACTTAAAGAAATGAAACACCCGCAAGTAGGCCGGCAAAAAACGAGACGAAATCAAAAAAGCCGACAAAAATTTTGTTTTCAAGCCGTAGACCGAATTTCACTTCAGTAGCTCTAGATCAGATGTTAAACTGCAGCTGCTAAACGTGCAATTTAACTAAAATTTGAGATCTTAAAAATGGAGATCATGTGGATATAGTTATTCATTGGAAAAAAGTTTAGTACCCGTTGTTTCAGTTACTTTTGATACAATATTTTTAAATGTTTGAAATAATTATTTAATTTTACAATTTCAGTTTTACAATTTTTTCAAGTAATTAAATTTCATTCAAACTTCTAGTACTTTCGATATTACAGAGCGCAGTTTCCCATCCAATTACCGAATACTTAAACGAATGAAATTAATCTTGAAAAAATCAACGGTCAAACCGCTAAAATCAATATTGAGCGTCAGAGTTGGGAATGTTTTAAAACAAGGCAAAAAAAAAACGTTTTAATACAGAAAATAAAAAACAGTAATTTTTAATTTAAAACTTTCATCGTAAAAAGCTAGCATAGGCAGGGAGTCGAACCCCTGCGCCATCCCTTCCTATCCCAATTGCAATCGCCTGCCCTTCCCAACTGCTCTACATTCCGTAATTGCTCCAATTGCTTTAATCCGACGCCTTTGGGCGGTCGCGGCATTATTTGGAAGAATCATTGGAAAATCAATTAGAATCCGAAACTTCATTCAGGTCAAATGGTTCGTAACAATATCAGTGATTTGTAAGCCAAGTTATAGAACCGTACTAATAGCGCTTATATTCCAAAGTAACAGATATAGCAAAATTTGTGCGAAATAATCATTTAGCGTTTGCGGAACTGACTAAACTCGGCATTCCAAAGCCACCAATGCCTGTTGAGACCAGATGGAATTCCATAAAGGACTTGATCGCTCATTATGAGAAGCATTTTACATCCATTGCGTTATGCGTTCAAAACATTACAAAAAGCACGGCGAAAGTATACCGATATACCGAGGAAATTCAGCTGAGGAGAGAATGCAAAAATTAGCTGGTCTTTCTTGAACAAAAACTTGGAAAATTCTTCAGAGTGAATCAATTGTTTTGGGAGACTGCTTCGAACGTTGGCTCGATCTCTACAATGCTGCACCGGATTATCTGAAACATTTTGTAGCAAAAAGAAGAGATGATTATCTGACTTCCGTTTATCTTGCCGCATATCTATTAGATCATCGGTATGAGGGCAGAAAGTTAGACGCTGATGACATGAAAAAAGCCCTCGCCTATATCCGCTCAATTGGAGAAAATGCCATGGGAAAGGTCACTAAGTAAATGACGCGAGAAGAACCGTACAATGAAAGTTATTTTCAAGATTTCAAAAGTGTAAAAGCATTATCATGGTGGAACATGGGAAAGAGGCTAGGTTTCGAAACAGCGTTGGTTGATGTTGCACTGGCTCTCGTTTCTGGCGTTCCTAACTCAGCTGGATTGGAAAGATGTTTCTCAACGACAGGAATGGCGTATGGAAAGTTAAGAAACCAAATGGAGGCTGAAAAATGTGGCAAACTTGCATTTCTCTACCGCGAACTGAACAAACTGTTAAAAAAAGATGTTTTTTATTTAAAAAAACGCTGTTTAATTGATTTTTTCAATGAAAAACGTTTTTTTCCCAACCCTGTTGAGCATACACAACTAAGATTTTTCCTGAAAAAAAAAACAAACCGAAAAATTTGCGACCAAAATAGGTTTTTTTATTTCTTTAATTGACACTTTAAAATGGTTGACATGATTCCAGTAAAGAATGTTGAAACCTATAAAGAATATTTTAGAATATGCTTCCAAGGGGTTTAAATAGCTCAAAAGCACGAGCACAAATATGTTTGGCGAAGACTTTCTTTGTAGTTTCCTCAAAAATCAAAGTAACAGTCGTTCATACAATTCCATGCGACGGTGAGAAAAATGGGCTTGTAGCCAATAGCTGAAGCTCAATTTTAATACGGGAGGAGGCTATCAGGAGGCCAGAAAGTATCCAAGTAATCGAAGTTGAAACATCGTTCCTTCATCATACAGTGAAGGCCAGGGCTATAATAAAAAAGGACCCAAATATTTTTATCGCAGCACTATGTAATGACCATCTTGTATTGGCTGCTTTATCCAATTAAGCACAATAATCAAATAAAATATGTTTCGAAAGAACAATTAGGCCAAAAATTCTCAATTTTAGAAGATAAAACTATTCAATTGTCAACAAATCCAGTCAAATAAACAAATAAATTTAAAATACCAGCATAGCAGATGATAATAAAAACAAGAGAGAAGTTCACCTAGGAGCTTACAAATAAAAAAACTCTTCAGATTGGTTTGATCATTAATTATTCCGAGAACACGAGCAGATATCGCAACCTGTATTGCAAGAATCGTTACAATTTAACACTCCATTGATGAGTCCAGAACGCAATGAGCTATTTCAAGTGGAACACATTCAGCTGAGTCGAAAATATACCAGCTGAACAAACCAAAGAAGATTTGTTCGAACAAATCAAAGAGGATGAAAACGAGCTGCTTCACAATTAAAAAGCCTTCTTTATTGACTTTTAGACGGTATTACAGATACGCAAGGAATGAAAACGATCATTGCGATCATTGTTCCGGTAAACGAGGAAGAAGACACGGTCAAGATCTCGATTCTCAAAGTTTTCATAGCCTTCAAATTTTTAGAAATAGTTTTAAAGAATTTTCAGCCTCTGACCAGGAGTGTCTTTTAAAACATTGTTGAGCAGAGAACAAACTTTTACAATCAGACGAAACTTGGAATGAAATCTGCTCTAGGCAATGTTCGTGTTGTTGTTGCAGGGGATTTACAGCATTGTTGTTGCAGGTAATTTACAGCAATGCTGCTTGAGATTCTTCGTCCCGACTTCTTCAGACAATGTCCTTGTTTCTGCACCCGTTGCAATCACAAAAGATCTGCAGGCGTTCGTTCTTTCCTTATTTTCTTCAATATTTGATTCCTGAGGCCATTTTTTTCTCGAATGGTACATTAGTGGACAAAATTAAGCGCGAATTCAGGTTTTTCTCCCTAAAATGACTGCCTTCAAGGATGATTTTGGACAATTTTGACTGAGAATTCAAACAAAAATTTTTACATAGACCAAGAGCAAATGATCAGAGCTGC